TGATGTACATGTAAATTTTGTTAAGACACTTCATAATGAGCAATTATACCGGTACTTCGAATCGAAATTTACTGTAAAAAATATTATAACCTAAGCATGATTCATTGTCATTATTTTTTTCATTATTGTAGACAAAATGAATTTACATACTATATGCATGTACTTAAATATTTTGCCAAGCCAAAACTCTTTGTATCAATAGTGTTTTTGTCACACTGGTATATGCGGTAATCATCAGAAGACCAAAAGTTAATTTAACAATTGACAAGAGCCCCAGACAAGGTACCTAGGGATATACAAGGTATACACTGAGTTTAAGCAATTTCTAGCATCCATTGACCTTAATTTGCTTGATTGACAGGGGTCCCTAGACCTGGTAAATTCAAAGGCTGTTCTCTTTTTCTCTGCCTTTAAGTATACTTTAAGAAAACGGGGTTTTTTTTCTTCCTCTTTTTTTTCTTTTTTACAAACAGAATAAAAAAATTATTTAAATTTTTTTTTTAAGTCGTGCTTATTCTTTTCATATTTAAAATGACAGAAAGTGGTGCTTGTAAAGTTTCATGGAAGGTTATATTGAACCACTACTTGTAATTATAATTATTTATCATAGAAGTCGCCATCCATTTTACTAACCCTATGGGGATGAATTTGTCTTGCGATCAGTAATTACAGTAATCACTGTGTTTACCTTGCTCTATCAAAGTGGTAAGATTTATAAACGTCTTGTGCGTGAGGCTGACATTTTGACCCAGGTTACACTTTCTGGGATCAGACCCAATCTGCTGATGCATTTAGTTAAAAGAGGTTTATAATTACAGGTGTCAACTGTTGGGTAAATTATCTGCACATCTCCAAGACCATTTTGACCTGGCTTCTTTAAGAAGGAGAAAATTAGCATCACGCTCGGAATCTTTCAACTCGCTTGTTTTTTACTCGTTGGAAATGTGAATTTTCCTAAAGTTAATGAATATCCGTCATTAACTTTTTGTTAATGACCATATTCTTTTAATTTCATCATTACTGATTTCAATTTTGGGATAAAATAATTTCTAACATCTTTGCTGACTTCAAAAAAAATCTGTAAAGATAATTCATATACAAATAAAGTAATTAAAATCATGGGGGAAAGGTTAAACCATGGAATTTTTTGTACCAATTAGTAAGAAACCTCTTGAAAACAATTAATGTCTCAAAAATCAAAGATTTATGCAAATCCTGTATATTTGAACAAGGATTCGATTTTGTATGCACACTCATTATGACCTATGATCCTATGACAGGCCATTCTTGACTGCTGCTTGAAGAGCACTGGTCACTTGTCCTGAACTGACCAGCAAAAGTTGCACCAGGTGAAAGGTCAATGGAAAACAATAGGGGTATGCACCCATCTTCACCCAGTGGACAGCAGATGTGCAAGTTCACATGTTGACCACTGGTCAACAGTTCATCTTAGGACGTCTTGCTCTGACCAGTGTCTGCAAGCTCTTAATGATGCTTTAGTAATGTCAAGTTAAATTTAAGATTTTTGCATGTTTAGAAGATTAAAAGATGTCATTTGATTTGATGAAAGATATTCTTCTGCTTGATAATTGTTCCCTACTGTGAAAGGATGGAATTTTGAAAGAAAAGAAAATCAATGTTTCGTTGAAAACCTTGTACATGTTACATGTAGGTCCCTGAGCAATATTATGATCCTGATTGTTTCATTTATATACATCAAGGTAAATCGATCTTGTCAGTGAAAGGGAGATGTTCATAGGGGGGAAAATATTGACTGAAAAGTTTTAACAAACAATCATTTGCAACATCAGCATTTCTTGATAACTATTATTTTTGTGTTTGAGCATTGCTTTATATGAAGACTATGCAGATAGTATAAAATGACAATATGTAACAACAACCTACAACTCTTAACATAAATCTCAGGTTCTGAAGATTTTACCAAAGCATAATTAAGATTACTATATCATTGTATTATTTTTTCTTAATTCATTAATTCTTGAACAGAAATTGTAATTACTCACCTTGAAATAAGTTGCAAAATTTGAACAATTGTGCAAATTTGAATTAATATGGAATCAAGGTAACTACTAGCTGTGCTTCTATTTTGGTGCACAAGGAGTTTCTACCCATTCAAAGCAAACAGATGACCAGTGGTCAGTAGAGGGTCATTTCAGGTCTCACCTGTTGTATCTGGACCTGGTCAGTGAGGGGTCAGTTCAGGGTAGACACCTGTATCTCTAGTGACCAAAGCACTGGTCAGTTAGCTTTGTCCTTACAGGGTTTCAAACCAGGGGTTATTTTAGGGTACCACCTGCAAAAAAGGTGAGAGTTCATATCAATGAACATTAAAAAAATAGTGCTTCATTTCATTTTCTTTGTGCAAGTTGAATATATACAAAAACAAAAAAACTTGGGTATAAAGAAAGTATGAAAATTAAACATTATGCAAAATAATTTTCATACTTGTTTTAATCTAGTGTATTTAAAAGAAAAAAATTAAATCATTGTGTTACATGTAGTTGCATTGATCTTTAAAATATGTTTCCAGTCCATCCATGATAATGGTGTTCCTGAATTAAAGTTAAAGCATTCTGACGAAGATGAAATTAATTTCATGCAGTGTTCATTTTTAAATAGTTAAAAACTTGCTGCTTGCTAAGTGTGGTAATATGCAGTAAAAAATGTCTTTTGTTTAATTTACTAGTGTTACATCAGGATAAAGGGACATAAACATCTTAATGATGAGACTACTTCTATAACCTCTTGGAAATAAAGCAATAAATCTCTATTTATTGCTGTGCATTTTAATGGATTTAATAGTTTTCCCCCCACTGATGGCTGAACCATTTAATGATAACATTAGAAACACACACCATATAGGCCAATCACTGTAAATTCGAACTTACCAGGATTTGCGCTGAGGAAGTTATTTGACTTGATTTAAGGTTGTGTAAATGAGAATCTTAAATCGAGAAGTCAACAGTTTTACATGTGTTGAAATAAAATTGGAAATGAAAATTGACATAATCGAAGCCTCATGAAGTTCAGGCTTGCGTAATTATTGCTTTAAGTAACAATGTGTTCCCTCACATGTAGTGTTTGATGGAGATAATGGGATGAATTATTAATTCTATTTTGTGTGCTTGATTTGTGGCTAAATTCAGCAGAAGTAACAGAAGATGTATTTTAATGGGATTGATGAAGAAATTGAATTTTCTTCTCTAATTTACATTAATGTAGAAGTGCTCAAGGAAGCAAAAATTCTACTCGGTTTTGGGACAGCATAAATTTATTTCTTTGAACAGTTTTAATTGATGTTAAATTTTTACAAATTATTTTTCAAACAACAATCCTCTAACAATTTGAATAAATTACTTCTTAATTAAAGAAGTTAAAATCCCTGTGGATGAAAGAAAAAATCAGAGAGAACAAACAGAACTGATTAGAATGCAAAACTTTATTTGCATTAAATTAAATTGATGTTAATTTGTGAAAGATCTGAAATTTTCCACACCATGTCACTGAAACATTTTTTTTTAACAGTACCAGAATTTATCTCCAAATATAACTGTTTATTCAAGAGGGACTATTTATTTTAGAGTTCATTCATTTAAACTAGAATTATTAAGAAATGGTCAAATATACAACAAGCATTGTAAAAGCTAATGTAAAATATACTTCATATATCAAACAACCAGGTTGTTTTGTCAGAAATTGCACTTTGTAGGAGTCTGATCTTTGAAAATGCTGGAAGAAAATAAGCATAACATTTAACAGTTTAATATCTCTTATAAAATACTGCATTGATTGTTGTATATTTGACCATTTCTTAAGAAAAGTTTAGGAAAAAATATATAAAAAATTTAAAGATTCTATTTTCAAAATTCTTGCATAATTTACTTGACTAAAAAAATGGAATTAAGAATTGCTAAAAGAGTAAGGAAGGTTGTGATTTTGACGACATTTAGCATAATAGGAATCAACATGGAACAATTCTGCCACAGATGGCCCCCACACTCTTGGACCTGCTGTCTGGTAGTCCCTGAAGTCACACCATATAATTCAATCATCTAATCCCACTCCATCACAAAAAACCCTTTTACAGGCCATGAATGGCATCGCTGGTAATATGGTAAACTATTTCATTTCTGGATAAATCAAAATGTTGCACAGAGGAATTGTTGTGCAAGCCTCCTTTTGATGAAATCCCAAGTTTGTATTTGTTATTAATGCATTATAAGGAAAAGGTCAAGCTGGGGTCATTATGATGATTTAATTGCTGTTAATTGCATGTTGCAGGCTTTGTAATTGGAGCCTTTGTGTTGTTGGTATGGATGTTTGAAGTGCACAGGGAAAACAGATCTTAATGTTATTGGAAACAAAATTTATTTCTAATAGAGTCTGATAAGAATTTATCTTGTGACATTAACCTTTGGTTTTCTATGTTTAGTAATCATAATTAATTTACACTGGTTCAGTAGTATTCATTTTATATTGATTAGAAAATAAGCTTGTCTTGAATTTTTTTTTTCTAATGCAAATTATCTTTTTTGTATCAAATTGGTTCCCATCTGTTCCAATAAACCAGTTTCTGTAGGTCCATTCAAAGGTGTTATATCAGGGTGTATTGTTTCAAAGCAGTGTAAAATTTGATTCTTAATCAAATAGCTGTTATTTGTTGAATTTGCTCATATGGCTCCAGGATGGTAAAGTGGCAATTTCAAATTTGACCGTGAAAGATTTTTTTTTCTCTCGGCAGATTAAGTAATGATATCATTACATGGTAATATTCAAGTTGTTTCATTAATCGTATTTGTAAATAAATCTAAACAATACTTTGGTGAACTTACAGTTAAGACAAGGCTTAAAGTATTATAAAATCACATGACATCATCTAGTTCCTTTCTTGTGTGAAGAACTTTTTTTTTGTAACAACAGAAATAAATGATTTGACTATTTGCTGAAATTTATTTGAACATTTTACTTCTTTTTTAAAGGTTCAACTTCATCTACAACTGAAATCTGAACCAGTTTGGAAGGAACTTTTTGGCAGGAAGATCATGTGTTCTGTCATGTGACTGTGTGGACTCAGTGTTATAGAACATTTCAGTTTCAGTGTTAAATCAATCATGTATTTCATCATCTTCTAAACAATATGTTGTCAAGTTTCAGAACTGATTTTCATGTATGTTTGATATGTTCATCACTGATTTTGAAATTCATTAAAGAAAACAATTTGTGTTATTTGCTTTATTTCAGTTGATGGATATGCCCTCAACGAAAGAAGATTGTATCACATCATATATGCATATTTAATTTTAATGGCAGCTATGTACATTAAAGTATAGGGGAGACCTGCAGTAATCAAGCAGTATGTGAGACATGCACAAATCTGTTAGAATGCAAGCATCTGTAAAGTTTTTCGTGATTTCATACTTGTTATGATTGAAGATTTTAATGTGATGTGGTCCATAACTTTTGTATTTTTTTACAATAAGATTTAAGTATTAAAAGAAATATGGTTGATTAATGTTGAAAAAGTGATCTTCTCTTCCAAAAAAAATTTGACATTTACTTTGAAGTATTATGCATTACAGAACTGTTGATTAATGTTGAAAAGTGATCTTCTCTTCCCCAAAAAATTGACATTTACTTTGAAATATCATGCATTACAGAACTGTTGGTAAATGGACATTTGAAGAATTAATTTACTGACTTTGAATGGTCAATAAATGGGTGAAACTTCATGCTAAGTGACCACAATTTTGTGTAGCATGTCAACTTAATTTTTATTCATAGACAAATACCTGTATTTATTTTTGTAGTGTGCTGCCCTGTGTACTCTGTACTTTTCTTTATAGCTTGAGCTAATCACAAAACTGCATTTTATTCCCATAATTTTACTTTTTCGCACAAGGTCTGATGTTAAAATTTTTGCAATTTAAATATCAGACAAAACTGGCCAGTAAGAAGAGGGGAAAATGTGAGCCAAAGATTTCTATCTTTTGAAATCTATGCAAAGTTTTGGACCGTATCACATAAATTATGCCAGTTCTAGCATGTTGAACATTTGCCTAACATTGCAGTGTTGATTCATAGATGTGATAATATATATGCTGGTGCCTATACCTTGCAAATGTAGCTCATATTGAGCAGAAAATAGATTGTTTTTATCCTTTGAGTTAATTTATTGGATATTTAGAAATGTAACAAAGGGTCCATGGGCTACATGGCTTTTGTGAGTCACCTTGGCCCTCCTGTTCTTTATCACAAGATCCTAAAAAAATTCAAACTTCAAAATTCTTTATCTCTTGTAGCCCAGCCCTAGCCCTAATGACACATTATTAAAACCTAATTTGAATCAACACACATTCTGAGGATTTGAAAAGAAATGAATCTTATCAATGTGATTTAGTGTGGCCTTGCCATTTTTTTTTTTTTTTTCAAAATATATATATATATATATATATATATATATATATATATATATATATATGTTGGTGCTAAACTTTCCAAATGTAGCTCATATTGAGCAGAAAATAGATTGCTTTTATCCTCTGAGATTACTGTGGAATCATTAAAATTGATGGAGGGGGGGGGGGGCAATTTTTGTGGATTGCTAAAATTTTGCAGGTTCGTGGGGACGTAATTTCGTGTATTTTATTATACCTACAAAAGGAAATGTGACTGTAACCCTAGTTTATTAATTCATAAGGATGTTAATTCGTGGATGAGAGGTACCCACAAATTTAAAAAAAAAAAAAAAAAAAAAAAAAAAAAAAACTAGAGCCACCACAAATTCTGATGATTCCACAGTTGTGGATATTCGGAATTGTAGCAAATATAACAAGAGGCCCATGGACCTCAAATCATATTTCAATTTGAGTCACCTGTTCACAAGATTTAAAAAAAAAATCCAACCACATCAAAAATCTTTATCCCTATTGTGGCCCCACCATAGCCCCAATGGTCATGACGTATTATTTAAACCTAATTTGAATCAAGAGGATTTGACAAGAAGTGAATCCATACAACTTTATAAATGTGTTTTAGTGTGGCCTTTCCATTTTTTCAAAACATTTAATTTTTATTTCCTTTTAAGATATTGATCCCTTCTTTTGGCCCCATCCTTATCCCTGAGCCACGATTTGAACAAACTTGAATCTGCACTACATGAGATTGCTTGCATATTAGTATCCCAAATTATGTCCCCGTATTTCTTGAAGATTTTTAAACATTTGGACCTTTTATTCCCTTGTAAAACTTTGATCCCTTATCCCCCCCCCCCCGGGCAATGATTTGAACAAACTTGAATCTTCGCTACCCGAGAAATGCTTGCATATTGATATCCCAAATCATGGGACAGTTATTCTTGAAAAGAAGTTTTTTAATCAATTCCCTCTATATAATTTTAATTACTCTATTGTGGCCCCACCTTATCCCCTGCGGTCATGATTTTAACAAACTTTAATCTACACTACCTATAGATGATTGCATACTAATATCACGGGTCATAGCCTTGTTCTTGAATATTGTTGAAATGTTTAAATCTAAATGGATGGCAGAAGAGACGATGCACAATGATATACAAAAAAAGATAGCAATAGGTCACCTGAGTCATTTATGTAGTGCAGTCGAATTCAGTATAAAAACAAAGGCTGAACAATTGATTTGAAATGTCAGTCAAAATACGACGACCCAGTGATAGGTTATATTTGCTAACAAGGTCATTATAACGACTATGCACAGAATTTACGAACAGCTGACTTTAAACGGGGTCGATGAAATCTCTGTAACATCAACTTATCTTTCAGTAGCCTTTCTCGGTTTAAAAATTGGTAGTACTCAAAGCATGCTCTTGGGAGACGTAAACACGACATGCAAGCAATAGTAAAATATATAAATAAGGAAAGTTGACAATGGAAACCCTGAAGTCATTTCCTTTGCATTACGATTGAGTTGGTCGCCCGCGTGGCACAGTGATTAGAGCATTTGTTCTAGAGTCGCGATGTAAGGAGTAGATCTTTACGTCGCAGATTTGTGAATCCACTGCGGGACGTGGAGACCGGTCCTTCGGATGAGATCGTATAAACCAAGGTCCCGTGTTGCAGTAGGTGTTGGCACGAAAAAGATCTCTCGCTGCTCAGTGGCCCTTAGTACCGAGTATAGGTCAAAATTTGCAGCCCTCCATCGGCAAGTGGTGGTGTTAAAAATTCTCGAGAGGGACGTTAAACAATAAACAAACAAACGAGTGAGTTGTAAGATGGCCTTTATCGTCTTTAGTCAGTATAACACCCAAACATGAAACAGATGTGGCAGACTCTGTGGTGTCTTTTTATTTCGTTTTCACTGAAAGTTTACACTAGGAAATTCGCGAAATTGAAATTAATGCACGCTATTCCTTGTACAAATTTCAAAGATAGACTACCTCAGTTAAACACATAACCTTAAACCGGTATTAGTTGTCACTATGGCTACTAAAAATCTTTCAGAGTATTCCTTACCCTAGTATGTTTTGCAAAGATCTCAAGAAAACTTGGTACACATTGTGGAGTTTATACAAGATTTCCATTTTTAAAAAAAAAAAAAAAAAAAGGTTGTACACAAGTATACTGCATAACAATATAACATATTTTCGGTGTGTAATTTTAGCTAACCTGACCGAAAATCAGAAAAGCTTGTATGTCATGGTAGAGTTTCTGTCACCCTGTTATGTTTAAAAAAATGCTACTCCTCCTAAATTTTGGTCCGGTACAAAAAAAAAATTACATACAATGCATAGACTACATGAATACATACTAGAATTTAACGGATGTTGAATGTAATGAACAATATTGCCATGGTTACAACAAATAGAAAATTATTTGAAATTGTTTGAAAATGCTACCCTTCCTAAAGTTTTAGTCTTAACTCGATAAAACTTGGTACACTGGTATGCCACACACATATTCACGATTACGATTAGTGATATTGTCAAGACTATTAAAGATATTCTTTCAAAATCGTATCTTTCCCACAGTTTTTGTCTGATTTTGATTTAATTTGAGAAGCAGACTTCACCAAGACTCATAATTTTATAGATACATGTAGGTTTTTATTTGATGAAAAGTGTTACACTGATCAATGCATGTACATGATTTTAAGCTCACCAGAACCAAAGGCTCAAGTGAAGTTTTCTGAAATTCGTCCGTTGTCTTTGTCGTCGTAAACGTTTCACAATTTCATCTTCTCTAGAACCACTAGACCAATTTCAACCAAATTCTTAGGTGAAGGGAATATTTTTTTTTCAAGGGCCACGGTCTATTTAAAGGGAAGATAATCAAGAAAAGGCAAAAATAGGGTGGGTGTCATAAAAAAAAATCTTCCCTAGAACCAATGGACCAAAAAGAAACACTTGTGAACATCTCCTGACATAATGTATATTCAAGTTTGTTCAATCATGACCGCGGGATACTTTGGGACCACAACATGAGATCAAAGTTTTACATGGGAATATATATGAAATAATGTTTTATAAATCTCAAAAACAGCAGGACCAAGTGGTGTTAACATACAAGCATCCCCGGGTAGTGTAATTTTTTAATTTTTTTTTTTAATTTAATTTAAACATATTTTATTGAGTAATTCAATGATTGGGCAACAGGCAAGGCCTATGCACACCCTCTCCTTGTATAATAGGTCAAGACATAGACATTGAATAATAATACTTGAACATGGTAATAAACTTGCTAATAATGGAAAATAAAGATTCATAATCAAGTATTATTCATCAGTATCATAAAAAAAGATGATAACCCCCTAACTGTATACAAATTATTTACATACTGTTCCAGCTTTCATATGAATATTGTAAAAATAATATATATATATACATTCAACAGAGTATTTAATATTATAGTGTACTCAACTAAGGTAGTGTGCTCAAATCAAGGCCTCCGGGGGTAGGGTGGGGTCACAATAGGAGACCCCATAAAAATAAAGTTTTACAATGCAATAAATAGGGAAAATGCTCAAAAATCTTCTTAAAAAAAAACAACAGAACCATGATTTGTGATAATAATTTGCAAGCATCCCCAGGTATTGCAATGCAAATTCAAGTTTGTTTAAATCATCAAATGATCAATTAACATTTCCATAGTAGGTTTTAGTTAACTGATGTGGGTGACGCAAAAAATCTCATGTTTCAGTCATTTCAGTATGCTTCAAGCAGTTAATGTCTGGTTTCACAGTGGAAAAGGAAGCAAATTGTCTTCCTTGTAAAGGTTTACATAAAACTGACCTATTTGTTCTCGAGATGAAATTATTAAATTTTACAAACTTTCTATCTGATCATCTCAAGGAAGTTAACAGACCAAATACGTCAACAGCTGGTCAACATTTTATATGATTTTTCAGTTACTTGAACAGCAAACACTCTGTATATGTTGGTCTGTGATATTTCCATAATCAAAGGATGCACGTTTTTAAATGAATTTCTTAATTTTGTGTGTTGTTGTTACTGGAATCGGAAAGGTACAAAAGACTACGAAATGGTGCCTTGCTTCGTACTTAACCATGTAAGTTAATCCATATAAATGTGATGTAACAATGAGACTGCTTAAAAATGCTGCCTTTCAGACTTTTAAATTCGTCTTATTTGTACAATAAATCTTCATTTAATGATCTCGTTTGCCATCTACCTATCATGAATTTCTCTAAATGTTGTATCTTAAGGATAAATCGTCGTCGGACAATGCAACAGCTGTCCAATAAGTGCGCTGGACTTGTGGAGCATTCGTTAAATATTCATAACTCGGTGACAGTTTTGGCTTTCTTTCCCATAATTAACTCTCAAGAAGCTTAAGTGTTAAAAATCAGAACACAATTCCATAAATAAAGAATGCGAAAAGATCAAATTAAATGATTTTCTCCGAATGTATGAATAATTTATCTAAGTGAAGAGTCCAGCTCGGACAATGTCAGCTGCGCGTGGACAGATAGTCCCCTTAATATTAAATGTTCTATCAAATTAAACCGAATCTTCCTTTGGCGTGTGTCTATTGTATCTTAGAAATGCTTTTGTTCATGCATTTATAATAATTATATTTTGAACACTGACAAGCGCAGCAGGCTTGCAGTTTTATTTCCAATGGACAATGCCCTGACGTGCATCCTATTCTTTCGTTTCTCGTTTAAAAAAAAAAAAAAAAAAAAAAAAAAAAAAAAACTCGTGTCTTATTAATCTGAATATGAATCTCAAAAAGAAATATATTTTGTTCGCTATTTAGACATTCGGCTATCTACAAAATCCCATATTCTCATTTTATAGCTTTGAAAAATAAGTAGTTGTAATTTGATTTTTTTAAGGGCCAGTTTTAATTTCTAATTATGTTTGACCTATACACTGTCTTCTGTAATTTTTATTCTAATTTTACCAGAGCGGATGAAAATACGCCTAAGTAAATCAAAAAATTGAATTTGATCATGTAAAGAAATAAATCGTTCATATCAATACATTGCATTTGACTTTTTAAGACACTTGAATAAAAAAATTGATCTCAAGAAGAAATACCGGTAACCCACTGGTGAATTTTCTGTCGTCTCTCTGATAATCTGGAGGGGAAAAAATGAAATACTACTCCCCATGCAGATTTATCCTACTTGAAAACACTTTGGTATAATTATGTATAGTATACTTCTGTCCCTATAAGCAAGTTGATTTTCTTTTACAGATTGGTCAATATGCAGGCAAATGTTTCAACATGCAGCGTATGTACATGTTAACATCCAAGATATTGTTCAATACATAATTTCCTTAAGAAAGACAAACTATGTCCAGATATGACATTTGTCAGATGCAACTTAATTACGTCAACATATAAATAATTTTATTTACTTGCAACAATCATTTGAATGAAATCAGCTACAATTGTATACTATACATGTATATTAGGATATTTCTACCTTTTCTGCAGTTTTTTTTTCTCTGACCTGATCAAAAACCGACGCATTAAAAGTAGTTTTTGTACTACATCAAGATACTCACCTTCTTTCAATAATTTTGGTTGATAGACATTGTTGCTGTTTTGGAAGTGTTCCTTCTACAGTTTTTATATAATCTGTATAGAATTGAATTTAGACTACGTCTTATAATGTGACTTAAGTTTAACTGTAATGAATAATAGTGATACTGTTTGTAAAAAAAAATATAGTTTACCTTTTTCCCGACAGTTTTGCTTCTCCTAAAATTATCCTGGATATCCAATGCCTTTGTAAAACTGTTCGTATTTAAATAACAATTATGCATATTGCAAAATGTACAATTGTCTATACAAGACGACAAGATTTTTTTTCTCTGAAGATTGTATATATATAGTAAACATTTATCAAATCAAAACACCCATGCATTCAATTAAATGCAATGTTTAATTTAAATTCATATTTCTAGAAACACTAAATATATATTCGTATTCATTTCAAAATTTTGATTATCAACGGAGGAGAATTAGCCCAAATGTAAATTTTATCAGTGGATAAAATTAAAAAAAAATATCTTATGTGAAATTAAAAAAGATGTCTAAAAAACAAAACAAAAAAGAAAACAACAAAAAACACTCAATTATTTTATATATATTAAAAAAAGAAGAAAACGATTTTTTAAAATAAAGAAACGATGGGAGAAAAGAGCTAAAAACCGAACTATAAATCAGAAGATACTGACCAAACTCGTCTGCCGCAGGTGGCACCAGAATATGCCCGGAATTTCACCACTGAAATGACACTCCTCTGTCTTTATTTCATTGTATCTTTTCTAGTAATGTATTAATAATAATCATGATGATAACATTAAATACAATTCATGAAAAGCAGGGGCACGTGTTTAGTACAAATCAAAGTCCTTTCATCAATCCGACATTTCTTTATTCTTGCTAAATTGAATGCCGGTCTTCAAATAACCAGAAAAAAATTGAGATTTTTAATTTTCATTAATGCAAATATCATTATTAACCATTCTTACTTTTGATGACAATTTTAAAATTACCTGTTTTAAATAATTTTGCCTTTTTCTTTTTCTTTTTTTTTTTTTGTTTGCAATATTAGACAATAGAAGAGACAAAAATCATTAAAATTTCAGATTCAATACGTTAAATTTAATGCACATATACTTGAATCATTAAAATAATATAATTCTTTTAAATAATAAACCGAGTATGCACTGTGTTCCCTGTCTTTTTTTTTTTCAATCGGTAAGTGATATAAAATTTCTGTTGGAAAGATAATTGCGTCATTAAATTCCGTGTATAATTTAGATTCTAAAGTTTTTGGTATGTCTGTTGGAAATCGAAAAGTTAACTTCAGAGACGCTTTTGATAATGATCATAAAAAAAGAATTAGAAGTTGTCATTATACTGGAGAATTTAACAATTTAAACAATACTGCATTACAGTCTCCCCCCCCCCCCCCCTTAACAATAAGATAAATTGTCTGTTTTACAAATATATTTACAATACGTCATAACAATACTCAGTACAAACAGATCGCCTGACAGATTAAAGATGAACAAAATTCAATCAGCTTTAGTTTGAATGAGAGCAACTGAAAATTTATAAGGGTTGTTATTACTTTATCTTCGCGATGCTGTCGATTTTCTTTTAAGTTTTTGTGATCATTTTGAACAGAAAATACGAGGCACTTATCGCACAACTTCATCATAAAATTCATTTGAAACCTAACACTGCGATTCCATAATTTTCCCATTCTGGATGGTAATGTTGGAAAGACTGTTGAACTCTCCATTTCTCTGGAAACAATAGCCGCTGGCATCTGTTTTTGGTTATGTCATTGTATTCTTTCTTCGTCACTTCTGTCATTGCTTTCTCCCAACTGTTGCGCTGACTGATGTAACAAGTTCGCTTTGTTGTTGATACCATTTAAAATTTTATCATCGAATAAAGGTTAGCTAAGCAAAAGATGGATATCTGTTAAAAGCGTAGCAGAGAAATTCTTGTCGCGCGTGCCTAAACTGACCTTAAGAATCAGGCTAAGGAGTTTGGCATCAAAGGTAAAAGCCAAGCGATTTTCTGTCAGAGACTATATTAAACAAATAATACCATTGCTGCAAGTACCCGTTATAGATATAATCCTGATATGAAAGAGAATTATTTTGGGCATGCCCTCTGCCGCTAATTTTTGTGTAACAAGCTTTGGTCGGATATAATATCCAAGTTAATTTTGGTGGAAATTCAAAGAACAGAAGCAGATGGCCCAATCTGGGTATGACATGCAGACCATGCAACCGGTGCAGCTTCCAGCTTTTTCTTGTGCAAGACGATTAAACGGTATAAATAGGATGTAGTATTGTCCAGTGGGCTATTTTCGTAACACAGTGTAATTGTTATGCGGTCCACAATGTGCGTCCACTCTCTGTTGCAGGTTGAGTGACCGATTTTCGTCATCCTTGGTGCATCCATTAAGTGCTCTGTCTTGGTCATTAAAAAAAGTCCTTTGTAACCTTAAATAAGTTATGCCTCGATTTACGTGCATCTTGAGTGCATTGGTCGCAAAAGAGATGTTATGTATTATACTCGCCAACTGTTGGGATGTCAACTGCGCGCACCTGCGAGCCTTCACGAAAGTAATGTACAATGTACCTGTAAAAAATGCTCTACCTGTCTTATTACAGGAATAAATTACTCGATAAACCCATAAAATAATTCATATCGCAAAGTCAAATTGATAAGACTTGATATGTATTTTACGGATAAATATATTTACTTACTTGATCTAATATATATATATATATATATATATATATATATATATATATATATATATATATATATATATATATATATATATGTATATATATGCTATTTTTTATCATGCCTCGATTGATGCTTCATTTCTTTTAATCGATTTTTTTCCATTCGAGATTGTAAACACATTTCATCTTCCCTAAAAGTTAACTTTTTCATAAAATTGTTGTGCCTCGATCTTGCACAACAAACATTTTACACGTACATATTTATTTTTTGAGTTTTGTTCCTTCATATTTTCACTGTTTGATAGTTGATATGTTTTTCATGATATTTTTCTTCAAATTCGACTTCTGTCTCCTTATTTCTTTCACTGTTTAATCTAATTTTTTATTAATATCTTTCATTCCTCAAACAAATCCTTGATCCGACAGAATGAAAAAAAAAATCTATAGAAATAACGTATTTTCCCACCGTTACAAAGGTGTTTGCGTTAAATTCATATCACAGAAGAAATTAATCGTTATAGGCAAACAGGACTGCTACAGGTAGAATAAAAAATATTGAGTTTCTGTGGACAGGTAGTTTTCACAACAGGTGGTTGTTTATATAGGAGAACTGAGATGAAGCAAGAATCAATTGTAACGATATTCAACTTTCTAAAGACCTACTTCATTATTTATAGACACTGATACACATTGTCAGGTGACAAATGGAAAAGAAATCTTTTTAATATATCCTATAGTTTTGAAAAAAAAAGGAATTCAGTTTTTCTTAATTGTCCTAATAGAAATGGTCAAAAGAATTGTCGTATTATAAGCAACGACTCTCCGAATAGGGGCTAAATTGGCTAAATTTTTTTAACTATGAATATTTTTGTGGCAATTTCAACACATTTTAAAATAAATAATTAATCAAGATAATTTGAAATTTGTACACCTCTCGCCAAATCTGTAAAATCTTGGTTTCCCAACACGCGAACAGAATGCTTCTGCGCATGTCTAGACAACGTCCCGATGCCACCTAATTAAAATAATGAAATTCCATTCAAAGATCCAGATGACGAAGCTAGAATAACGATTGAATGGAATAATGGTAAATGTTTGTATTTGTCAACGCGCTACACCACTTTCGTCGCATTGTTCAGGGCAAGTTCAATTATTCATACCAAATATTGCCAATTCTTTGCTGCGATTCGCGGAGGCGCGTGCCGCTTGATTGGCATGCGACCGGGTATATAAGACCGTTTATGGAAGCGTGAGAACGAACTTATCACTTAACTTGTGAAAGAAAAAAGAGAATTTCCCCCAAGAAAAATCTGCAAAGTCACAACCATGTCGACAAAAGCCAAAATTCTGGGAAGAAGTTACACATGAAACAAAAACGAAAACTCTTCTGGAACTTACACGAAGAAAACTCCGAAATGTAGACTTGAATGGCGATTCCAAACTTTTGAAATTTGTTAAAGCTGAAGTGACAGTAAAAAAAATGCCACGATCATTTCTAGTCAAGAAAGTGAAATGTGATGAGGATCGCCAACCAAACCAGTACCGAATCAGGGACGTTTTTGAGGAGTCCGTAGCGAGTCTGAAGGCAGTTACACCCTTCACCCCGGTGGTACAGCCCCTGTCTGTCCGCATCAGTAACGGTAACTATCTACATATTATTTAAGTCTACAGAGTGTTTAAAAGCTCATAAATTGTAACATATCTACCAAGATTGGCAAATGGATTGTCGCACAGTATGTAATATGTATATTTCTTTAATCACTTTATTTCTAAGTAATGATAATATTTTATCAATAATTTGAGCTTGAGTTTACCTTGTGGAAAAAAAATCAGCTGTTATTTTGACTTGTTTATTTAAAAAAAAAAAGGAAAAGAACAAAAGAAATTAATTTTTTAGCAGTTTGATTTTTAATTTCAAGTTTATTTCACCGATATAAATCATTGTTTCTATGTACCTGAGTTTACTTTGATGCTATAATCTTTAAGATGTGTCTATTAATTTGATATATTTGCTCATATTTTCTTTGTATTTACTGGAATCATTAATCTGCAATTTTTCGTTAAAATGTACGAAAAACGAATCTGACATATACTAAAGTTTAAATGCGATTGTGGAATATTCACATGCATAAAGGGTATATTTCATTTAGTTCTATGATTCTTGCTTTTATACCTTATTACATTTTCTGTTAAATACTGAAAGAAGATGCTTATTTCTACCTTCTCTCTTCTAAAATGTACATAGAATGCGCGATCCTTAAAAAAAAGGAAAATCAATTTTGTTTTATGACCCGCATCCCCTTTTGTTTGAAAAGAATTTCACCAAGGAAAATGAAAAGACATTAATAAATAATTAAAATTATAAGGTTAGTTGTCAGAATATGAAAAACGTTTGTTCCTGTAACGCTTCACAGATGCATGTCTATTGTAACGTAACGCAACTACTACTCCAAGCTACGACGAAATATTGTTCAACAGGGCTCAGATTACCATAAGAAGCCGACTACTTAGACAACAGAACAAAAGTTGTGCATAATATATTCTTCTGTTGTGAAAGAGTTGAATAATCAAGATTTTAATGAAATAACGTGGAGGGGAAGTGCGGGCCGGGAGTTCACTGACACCGGCAGGGGAGTCTTGATACTGGTCAATGCACTTACGGCTTTACCCGTCAATGGGCTTTTTCCCCCAGAATGGCGTTGCAAAAGTGTGCGACTTCGTTCCTTAAGGTCAATTTTTGACAGATTGTTAAAAGAGATTCTTGCCTCCAGGATCTTTTCTTTCGCTTGTTAGCAAGAAAACAAATCTTACTAAGCAAAGTCCTGTCTGATGATCCATTCTTTCTTCACTTAATTAATTTTATCTATGCTGTGATATTTATTTTTATTTATTTATTCATCTATAATTTTTTAAACAAAATCTTAATTCTAGCAATCAGAATTACTTATAAGAAGTCAAATACAAGAGAGCACGCAGTGACCTTTTCAATCAATTTTTGATCAACAGACTACTTATAACTATAACGACATATTTGGGAAGTGCAGAAATGAGACATCGACGATGAAGACACAGTTACAAATAACTTTGGGAACATCATCTTCTGAATCTGTTGATAATTGATATTATGATCCGAACATGAGTTATGCGCTGTCAGTCGGTAATGTTCGAAAGATGCAATTGTTGCCTCTCTAATCTCGCTTCTCTGTCGTAGATTGATATAATTGAGTTATGAATGTAACATAATTCCCCCATTTTACGACTAGCCGTGTAAAAGAAGTTTGATAAGTTGGAATTGTTAACTTTTGTAATTATCACTGAAACAACCATTAAGCTTGCTTAAGGAGCAAGCAACAGTCACCCATCTTGATCAAGTTTATGTCTTAGTCAATGATTGGGAAGGTAAACTCAAGATATACTAAACAAAAAATAATGTAGCAAATTTAAAATGAAGAATATACCGGTACTGTTTTTTCTTGATATAATATAATTCCAGTTTTCTTTCTAAAGTAGGTAGTTAAATGGCTGACTTCTATCCCTTGTAAATTTTAGGTTACATTCAAGATGTTGTTGTTCCAACATTGCCACAAAACTCGGCCACCGTATTACATGATGTAGACTCAAGGAATAGGTTCGAAGAAAATCTTGTTGAAGAAACTCCCTCTCCCGAACCAGTTCCTGATAAAAACTTGGAGGTTGAAGTTCGGACATCTCTCCCTAATATGCACACTGTTGGTTATACTTATGATGCGTTTTTTGTAAGCGATGGAAGAGCAAGAAAGAACGCGTTTGGGATCCCAACCAAAGCCCTGAAACAAAGATATACCTGCAACGAATGCGGAAAAGATTATGCGACATCATCGAATCTCTCACGTCACAAGCAAACACATCGAAGTCTCGAAAGTCACTCAGCCAAGAAATGTCCACACTGTGACAAAGTTTATGTGAGCATGCCTGCATTGTCCATGCATATTCTTACTCACGAACTTAAACACAAGTGCGATATTTGCGGTAAAGCGTTTTCTAGACCATGGCTTCTTCAAGGTCACAGACGGTCTCACACCGGCGAAAAACCATTCGGATGCGCACACTGTGGCAAAGCTTTCGCTGATAGATCAAATCTTCGAGCACATATGCAAACCCATTCAGCATTCAAACACTATAAATGCAAGAGATGTGACAAATCATTTGCTCTAAAATCATACCTGAACAAGCATTATGAGTCGGCGTGTATAAAAGATGGGACCGAATCTGAGACGGGCTCTGTAGTATCCGAGATATCAGCAATCTCGGAGATATCTTGTTATTCCGACTGCTAAAAACTTGTGCACCTTCAAAGTAGACTCATCACCATTCTAAAGCATTTCAATCCCTGTGCCAACTTTCTGCAGTTACAATTTCTTAAAACGACCCATGTAATTTCTTGTTAACATTTTTCGTAGCAATTTTCATATCAACAAAGAATAGTTCCTATTTTGGTAGAACTTTTTATAGTATTTTACACTTGTTCTCTTTCAATATCATCACCATTGTGTCTTCGTATTGCAAACTGTTGTTTCTCTTTGTAAATATTTGCAGAAGGAAATCAAGCAATATAATTTTCGATATGCACATCCCTTTCGATATACATGTAGCGTTCGAAAGAAGCATAATTTAAAATCGTCAAGATTTATTATTTTGCCTTAAAGATATTCACTGTATAATTGCTTTATTTTCTGTACAAATAATTTGCACAATGTAGAGGTGTTTGAACAACATTTGTTGTTGTCTGTAGTGCTTTTGTCGTTTGCTTCGCTTTGGGTTCAAAGCAATCATGAGTTATCTAGTCCCTATCAACTCTAGTCAGTCAAGAGGAACAACCGCTTCTTCGTTGACCCTTTAATGTCTATGATAATTCCAAGTCGAACATGTAAGAAAGACATCAAAAGATGGTGTCTTTATGTGAGTAGCAAATCGTTGTGTTTTCAATCGTAGACAGAATTTTAGAATGTATTACTTTTACATTGCATTCAAGCTCTCTTTACGGTTGTGACTTTGTACATACCTGACCTTGGTCATGCTGTTGTCTGCTTTGGCAGCTTTAAGTTGTTTTTTGATTATCTTAAATTTTAACATTTTTTACCATCATTAAACATTTTATTTCACATAAGTGCAGAATTTTCACATGTATTTCTTTTCGAAAATGTTTAGTAATAATGATCACCTTGTACATTCATTATATTTCCAAATTATATTTCACTCTTATTTGTTATTTCTTCTTTTCCTCTAACCTCACGAGAGGATTTGTTTTTCTGGAACATGTGCAATATCGCCGCTATCAGTATTACCTTTGTCTTTTAAACGTTAATGTTGAATAAACGACTTTAAAAAAGAACTATTTTGTCATTTTGTAAATAGATACATTGTTTCTGAGAAAATGAAGCCCCCACCCCCAACCCTCCTTTCCATGAAAGTTTATGGCGTCATTTTATTTTCATGCCAGTATAGATCATGCCGATTTTATAATTTCATATCTTGTTTTAATAAATGAGAAAAGATGAAAATAATTACATTTCATAAACATTGTCGACACGCATCAATGGATTTAGTCGCTACCAGGAGTACCTCTGGTTATAATGGACTTACAGATGGTTTTTCAGCAAGTTTAATTTCATGTTAAATTTTTAAATTTAAAGATTAAATCAATTATGATAAAAATGTGCAAAGACACTAATTCTAATTTTTGCAGTACATTTGTCGACCTCATCTTGAATCCTGTACCGCGATACATTGTCCGCCATATCGATCCAAATCTGTTTAAGTTGGTTCTTTACCATTCGAGGTCCTATCAAGCTTTTGTATGCACATCGATCCTCGGTTAAATATCACCTAACCGTTAAAAATTGAAAATTCGATCTCCAGGTAGGTACCTGTAGAGCTAAACACATCAATTTTAATTTTCCAATATTGCAAGAGGTTCGCTTTCACTACACTAGATACTTATCGACAACCTGAACAATGATCAACTGTTGCTTTTCTTCGCTTGATGGAAGGCATTAATAGAGGATATAAATGAAGCTTATTCAATATTTTCTAAAAGAGTCAGGCACCAAATGAAAAAAAACGCATCGATTTAAGGGAACGTTTTAACATTTGATTTCAATGTCTACCGAGTATCATTTAGCGATGTAAGGTGTGTACATGGAGGTAAATATTTTATTTACCGAGAGCTTGACATTATTTGCCTCAATAAGCACATTCCCAATGCTTGACAAAGTTAAAGAGACCCGCTACGCAATATACTCTTCCTTGAATGGTGTTTTTTTCAAACGTGTTTCAATTCCATTATTAGAGCTAAACAGGTGTACAGACCACAATGACTATCTTAAAGTCTGATATATTTTTCAAAAATTCTCCAGTTTTACACAAAGCTTGCTTTTTCTTAAAAGACACTGGTAGGAGTATACCTGTAATTTGAGAATCCATTTTAATACACTAAACTGGTATACTATAAATGTTTGGTTCTTCCACTCACTTTCCGTTTAAATGAATCAACTGACGAATCCTTCACGTATTGTACCCCCGGGATGGAGACAAAGGCATGAAGAAAATTTAAACTTTTAAATTTATTCAAGTATTTTATAGATACATCGCAGCAATTGAGCAATTGACATCATACAAATTAAACTTTGTATTCAGGCCCGTAAAAGGCGGGGGGGGGAGGGGGGGCGCCCCCTTTTTTCTGAGTATAGTATTTTGCTATATAATAGTAAATTTTCCTTTAGATGCTGCCCCTTCACTTTTTGATGTTGTAGTGCACTGGCAAATTCCAGGATTTGGACAGTAAATTACCTTTTTTAACCCCCTTTTTTGTTGCTTGTCAGATAATTTTAAGAAGTCCCCCCACTACTGTGACCTACTTTTTCATAAATATGCCATAAGGTCTCAAGATGCATAAATTTACAAGGTTTGATGATTTTAAACTTCCCGGTATCCGAAATAGTTAAATGAATTTTTTTGAAAGTGATGAGCTGTAAAATTCAGAAAGTAGGTCACGGTAACCTACATTTGGTTGACAGACTTTGCATCAACTGACAAGATTTTTTATGATCGTAGGCTTCAAAGTTTCCAAGATATGCATCAAAATTAATTTGAAAATAAATATCTGCAAAATTCAAAAGGTAGGTCAGCCTCACCTACCTTTGAGTCAACATAACACGAGGTCCTAAGATACATCAACTGACTAGATTTGATGATCTTAGTCCTCACAGTGTGTGCAAAATAGCAAAGTTTTAACAAAAATAATGTTATATTAATTTAGAAGTGACCTTCAGACAACGCCCTTTGCACTCGGATGATCTCTTGAACAATCTACAACGTATCCTCATCCTTATGTCTAAGTTTGGTGATAATCTGTCCAGTGGTTCATGAGAAAAAGATTTTTAGCAACCACTTTTTTATATTTCTGAATTAGCTCCCCTTATCCCTTTATTTAGTATAACTTAAAAGTCCTTGGCCAAAATCTGTGACAAATTTGTATAAATTGGCCAAGGTTTCTTGAGATACGGCCCACATTCAAAAAACTTTACGCTCACCACATGCCAGGCCATAGCTTAGCAATTGAGCCTTTGGCTCAGAATATAGCTAAAATTATAATACTAATTTAAAATAAACACACATATATGGCCTTGGAGCTACACATTGACATTGATATTCCTAGTAATCGTGCTAAATAAAGATAACTAAGTCTTGTTCATCTTAAATTTGACTTATTATCTGTATGATTAATGTGTGTGTGTGTGTGTGTGATTCTTTCAGTAGTAACGTGAATACCAAACTAGATGAAGATAATGAAAAATATATTTTCTAGAGTCAATTTCTCTATTTATGCCAAACGTAGTGAGATGGACGTTAAACAATTAAGAATAATTAATTACTACAAGGATACAAATTTGTCAATTGAATTTCAAAATGTGGGATTGTTTTCTCCTAAGAGAGTTATATTGTTCTTGCATGACAAATTACCGTGATGTTTCAACAGGTTATAACTCTGAAACCGCTCTTTAAACGTATGAAATTTTAATGAACCCAATCAATAAATTTTTTCCCATTTTTTCCTCAGCAAATTTTTAGCGATCTGTGATGTGAATTCGCAAAGGCATAAACATTTTGTAAATGCATGACATGCATATTTTTAACGTCACCTCTTTAGATTAAGTTTTCAAAAAATCAAAAAGCGAAATAAAACTTCTTATTCAAGATTCACCATATTGCTTTTCAAGAACGTTTGAAACTTCCTTTCTTGAGTGTATGGTTTAAAGTAATACTGGAATTCATTTACTTCTTAAGTAATCCAACCAAAGAGAGAAACATGCAGTTTAATACCATAAACAAAAGAGGCAAATGATTGGCCTTGAAATACATGTATCTATAAGGTAGTTTTCAAGAAAGGAAATTCATTAATGAGAAACCAAAAGAACTCCCAATAAACCAATTGTAATGCTTATTTTCTGTATTGGAATTCTATCATTCCTTTTAATGGCGAGCAGCCAAACATTGGTCCGGAAGTAGTCAGCTAGTGTAGACGGAGTATAAATCAAACCCAAGAGATCAATCACCGATAGATTTTTCCATCCAGAGGCACGAAGCTGGAATATCTACCTTTCCCCCGGAAGCGATTTATTAGACAAAAGACATTACATTTCTCCTATAACGAGTACTTAGCACCGGGCCTCTTTGACTAGCCACAGGTTGATGTTGGATTCAGCATCGATTAAACTGTTACGTTCCGGCGATCGCGTTTATTTAATTATCACTGGGCTCTCACATAGGCAAATTTTATTTTGTCATTATAAAAGTAACCTTGCAATTTGCTGTACAGAATTTATCCCTTTTTGATTTCTGAAGAATCTAACAAGAAAAAGTTTCCACTTATTTCAGGATTTTACAATCCAATTTGAGAAAATTAGTGTGGGAAACGCACAAAATACTGTTGGAACTAAGTAACGTACAGATAGTCAATTGGGTGGAAAAAAGGGTTCAAGAATTTGTCAAATTGTAAATTTTGTATTTCTGCTACATGGTGAGTTTGAAATTTATAGTACGACAAATTAAAGAATGAACAAGATTATGACAAAGAAATCGATATCCAATAATTGACGGATATATGAAAAAAGGTGAAGGTAGGGAATAGTGATCAATCTCATAAATCATAAATAATACAATTCTTGAACAGGGCAAGAAAAGGCGAACACCTGAAAACACCAGAGGTGGGATCAGGTGCCTAAGAGGAGTAAACATCCCCTGTCGACCGGTCCGTCGGTGAGCTCTCTGTATTGTTCAGGTAAACGGAGTATTAGTGTAGGACAGTGGCTTAACAATTGGTACGAAATGTCAGTAAAAGTACGACCCAAAGCTACGTTGTATTTGCAATAAAGGTCATTATTTCGACCATAAAATGTTGGAAAAGCTGAAATAATTCCAATGCCCTGTAACATCAATATTTTTCAGAAGCCTACCCCGCTTAAAAATTGATCGTAATCATAGCATGTTCTTGCTATATCGGTTCCACTGGCTTTAAAATTATGGTGTTCATTTTAGAATAACTTCCATTTGCTCTGTCAGTCACTGATTTCTTGAAAATAACCCCATTTAAAATGCTTAAATACAATTTCCCTGCCTTAACCGACAACGGATTATTGTTTGACCTTTTTGAGTTATCTTTCTTTGTTCATAATGTAGCAACAATGTACTGCGCAGTGCGAAGAGAAAAAAAAAAGGAGGGGCGTTTTTATTATTCACATCTTTAAGTGTTTTTTCCCTTTTCCTTTATCATCTTTAAATATTTTATTTTTTCCCTTTTCCTTTGCAATACCAATCAATATCTACAGGTTCAATAAAAATCAGTACATTGTATTCTGGATCTTATTCAACGCTGTGAGCAATAGTGAAGGTACATGTAAAACTGTGTGCTAACATTGGAAAGAAGAATAACTCTTTATATGAGTTTTCAACAGCCGAGTTATTATTTTTTCTCTTAAACAAAACAAGAAAAATATATCTTATATACTACTAGGTTTTTAATGGCTATACCATGCTATGTATATGTGTAAGTATATCTAGTGTTAATTATTGCAAACCGATGAGTCAAATTTTGAGACAATTCAGCAAGGTCTTTAAAAGAATGCTAAAATACAACTCGCATGGACGTTAG